CTGGGTATGTTGTAATAAATATTAAGGATAAAAGAATAACATCAGCCAGATGATGGAATAAGCATTTTTCAAGCCTTATTAGCCCGGAGGGAAAAAAAAAAAAACGATTTTGATGACAAGCTTAAGGGGAGAGTATCATTGTAGGAGCCTGAGAGGTCAGTATATATGTCTCAGCGACCCACAGGAGTAAAATACTAAAGAAAAGATATGTTGTAGAGGATGAAAGAACAGTATTATTTACAACACTCCTTGTCAAAGATAGTGCAGCTCAGTGACAAGAGATCCCTCCAGCCTGTGGTGTTCCCCTTAGGAAGGTGAGAAAGTGGCAGGCACCAGGCTCTGTGCTTGCTGGGCTCTGACCAGGAAGCCACTTCCTCCTCACTCCGTCCACCCAGAGCCCCAAAGAGATCAATGCAGCTGACAGTTGGGGAACAACCAGAAGCAGGAAAAAAGATCAGGAAGTTAATAGTACCCGGACTTGGGAGCTTGACTAAGGACCACAGACTCTAACAATTTCTGGCTATGATAGAAGCCCCCCACGTAGGCTGACATGTTGTCTACACCCAGACCTTCCCACATGTACACCCAGAACTCTGCGCATCACCATCTAGCCGGCTACTGCAGTATACCAGAGCTAGCAGGTGCGATTGCATGCAGACAGCCCACTCAACTAAGTGGGACTGGAGAAAAGGCAGAGACCTTCAAAAGATAAGGACACTGCCCTAGAAAAAATAAATAGCGGGCAGATGTTTTCCAAATTTTAGAAACTGTACAAACATTCAGAGGAAGAATGAAAGCTGAATTACACTAATAAATATTTATTTATTTATTTATTTTGTGAGACAAGGTCTGTCTATGTTGTGCAGGTTGTCCTTGGACACATTGTGTAGCCCAGCCTGGCCTCAAACTGCCAGCATCTTCCCTCTGCCTCTAGAGTGTTGGGATTATAGGCACATACTCTCACACTTAGCTAAAACACATCTAAATAAATTCTCAAATACCAAAATAAGTAAGGTGCTGGTGGATTGTTCAGTGGTCAAGCACTTGCCTAGAATGGGTAAAATCTTAGGTATGATCCCTGGCATTACAAAAAGAGAAAAAAATAAATTAAAGATAGATTTTTAAAACCAAAAGTCTCATCGCATATAAATGAATAACTAGGCTATTATTACAGTTGTTATAGCAGAAACTGTCTAGAACAAGAAAGAGGGGGATGATATATTTGAATTTCTGAACAAAAAAAAATAATACTACCAGCAAAGAATATTGTTGGTGACAAAGCTGTCCTATTTAAACAAAAGATTTGAAACTGCACTAGAAGAAAACATAGGAGAAAAAGCTTACAACATTGCTCTACATGACGAATTTTTGGAGATGACCTCAAAAACACAGGAGCCAAAGTAAAAACAAACAAGCTTCACCACAGTAAGCAACTTCTGTACAGAGCAAGGTGAGCATATGTAGTGCAAAAGTAGCCACTGAAAGAAGCCATTTCAAAACACTGTGTTACATAACAGTTTAGTACCCAACGTACTCAAGGACCTCAAAGAGCTTAATAGCAAAAATAAAAATGAAAATACAAAAGAGAAACACAACATGAAAATGGCTCAAAGACTTGAATATATGCACCTAAAATGAAAAGATGCAGATGGTCCACAGGTACATGAAATGGTCTATAGAGCACCAATAATCATCAGAGAAATGCAATTCAAAATTACAAGAAGTTATTACCAGTAGAGTGAATATTACCAAACAAACACAAAACAGGTGCTAGAAAGGATGTAGAGAAAATAAAACCCTTATGCACTGTTGATATTGTACATATGTATAGCCATTTTGAAAACAATGTAGAATTTCCTTAGAAACCTAAAGGAGTAATTCTCCATGGATATATATTCAAGGGAAATTAAATTAAGATGCTGGAGATGCCTACATTGAGACATGCTCTGCAGCACTAATAACAATAGCCAAGATATCAATACAACTTAAATATTTATCAATTGATAAGTATGTAAGGAAATTTTGATACATATAAAAATGGAATATCACTGAGCCCTAAAAGCTGAAGGAAAACCTGCTACTTTTGACAGTATGGATAATCTTGCATGACATTTGACTAATTGAAATAATCTTAATATAGAAGGAAATATTAGACACAATCTCATTGGTAAGTGTAATTTTAGAGGGTCAAATTCATAAACATGGAGTAGAATGGTGATAGCTAAATGTCTTCGTTACTTTTTTGTTGCCATAACAAAATCCCAACACCTATGAATTAAGGGTGGAAAGGTTTTATTAGCTCACCATTTGTAGAGGTTTAAGTCCATCATCAACTGGATCCCAGGCAGGGAAATATTACAGAAAATCAATAGGTTGTGTTGAGCAGAAGTAGAAAAGTAAGCAAGAAACTGACACAATTCTGCGTGTATCTTTTGCCTTTTCCAGGCTACTTCAGGTAGGCAGCCCTCTCACCCTAATCCTTGTGACCTTGATCCTATTATTGCACCATGAACCAACGGTAGCATCACACAGTCTAGATCCAGGGAGTTTTGTGAAAGCCCCATCTGACTCAGACAAGACTTTGAGACTTCAGAGGAACACCTGATCACAAGCCGCAATATCAATAGTTGCAGGGTAGAGGAAGTTATTTAAACTCTCCAAAGTTTAAGTTATACAAGATGATTAAATTCTGAATATCTAATATAAAGCATGTCTGTGGTTAACTCTGTTCTATAATGTACTTGTAACTTACCAAGAAAATATATCCTAATTGCTGTAACATTGGTAAAATATGTGGTATCCACATTGGAAAATAGACATTTTAATCATATTAATTACATAGATCATTTTGCAACGTGTAGATGCAGAAAATCTTCATACAATACGCTTTATGCATAATTTTTGTTGTCATTTTGCTTCAATAAAGTTAGTTGGATGGCAGTAGCAATTGCTGCCATTCATTAGCCACTTCATTTTGCTATTCATAGAAAGTACCACGTTTAATCCTTACAATAACTTGATATCTACTTTGGTGTTACTTTGATTGCTATTTTGTAGATTAAAATCTGAACCCAAAATAAATCGATCAATAGATAAAAATCATAAAGAACGTAAGACACCAGATTTGGAATTTACAAACTATGTAGTCATATCTTATGTGAGCTAATTTACCAATCTGCTGCCCTTTCAAGCTCAGATTTCTAACTGCAAATAATGTGAAATGAAGTACAATAATATAAATATAGAGTATATTCAATTGAAAAGGTCATGCATTACATACACAATATTTTTCTAGTATTTGACATCTACAGGTCACTTCAATACAAAATAAATTTTATACTTTCTTTACTCATTCATCCATCCATAAATCAACTCAACAAAAAATATTTTGACTTCTACTATAACCAAGCACTATGGTAATGATTGAGTCATTCTTTATTGAATTTATTGCTTATTAAACTAGATGGTTTTTAAGACTTTTTCTGAGAGTAATATGCAATTTTTTGTAGTGTGGATAGATGGGAGTGTCACTTGTACATTATCATACAGCTGACATATATTTTTGTCTGTTCTTTATTACCTCAGTAGTTTCATGCTACGTTTGTACCATAACCAACCTAATGCCGATGAGAAACACACAAGATAATGTATTTACAGATGTTATTACAACTTTATAATGTATTTTTCTATCTTTTTTCATATATATGTTATATAACATTCAAAATCATTTTTTCTTGCTTGAGAAAAGGATACAGAATGCAAAATCCACAATTTTGATAACTGATACTTACCCGTTGTTTTGAAGTACTGTATTATACAGGGTGTCTTGTCTTTTTTGGGCTTTTAGTTAACTAATGAATAAATACATTAGATACTTTGGGGTTTTAGTTGGGATTTTACATAGCTTGCATTTTAATTCTTTGATTCTTTGCTGTTTCTATTAAACTATACCATTATTTTAATAAATGTTATATTACCAACCTAAAAAAAATGTTGAATTAAAATGGAAACAAAGTAGATGCAGAAGTTCTTCTGTTTTGGATTTTGAGGTAAGATAAATAGAAAATAATGAAGATAAATAGCATGTGATATATATGAGACCCATAAGAGCTTTGAAAAACAATAGCACAGGAGAGACACAGAAAATGGTCCAAAAGAACAAACCCAGAAACTTCAGAGTTACCAAAAGACACATGGTGATTGTGACTCATGTGTCACACTTTGAGAGAGTGTATCATGAGCACGTGTAGCCAAAGAGCTTTTGACCAGAGGAACCAGTACAAAGGCTCAGAGGTGAATCTTTATTTTTAGAAAAGAAAGGGAGTGAGTGAAATAGAATGGTTGAGAAGAAACAATGTAGGAGATGCTGTGAGAGAGCACAAGGCCCATAGTCTTAGAAAGCCTACTGGGTTATGGAAACATGGTCACATCTAAATTGGAGTACACACAGAAAGGCTTTGGCTGGTTTTAAGGAAAAGAGGGACAGGATTGGATTTTCATTTTGAAGGGATCACTCTGTCTGGAACATAAACAAAAGCAGGAGAGAAGGCAGACACAAAGGAACAACTTAGAAGGCAGCTGCAATAACACAGACAAAAGATCACACTGAATTGGGCCACACAATGAATGTCCAAATAGAAAGAAGTAATTACTTTTTGAAAAGTAAAGCTAATGGAATTTGATCAGGTATTCAGAGTGATATGAGAAGAAGAGTCAAGAGTTGCTCTAATATATGAGATTTGAGTAGCAGAGGAATGGAATGTCTATTCCTGAAATGGAGTGGGCTGCAGGAAAGTATGTCTGAAATGAACCTTACTCGATATCTATTTTATTTATTATTATTATTTTTAATTTATTGAAAATAGAAAATTCAGTCTTTACCCCCAGGACTGCCGCGGATCACCATGGATCATTGGACAATGCCCACCTGCCTCACTACACACTGTAGAGCCTTGTCCCATTGGTGCTGTCCAGAAGCCATGTGGAAGTGTATGAAGTACATGGGTGGGACATCTGCTCAAAGAGAAGTCATAAGTTTTATGCCCCTTGTCACAGTGACCCTAAATTCCTGTTGGGTGTATTGTAAACAGAGAAGCCATTCTTCAGGCCACCTGCTTTGAGTACACCCACTGTTTATTTGAAACATGTTTGATACCCATAAGAGACAGCTAAGTGAGGATTTGAATACATATGGGGATATTTGAGTGGGAAATATAAAAGAGAGATACAAATTAGGAAAATTTTAATGTGTTGATAGTAAATTATGTTCGAGTCAAATGGAAATATCAAGAGCTATAAGTAGATAAAGAAGACACCAAGGACTAAGATCCAAGTACTGTACCATTTAGAAGATAGGGGAATGGCTGTCAGCTGTGAACAAACCACAGTAGTCAAGAATGGTCAGTGCGATAGGAGGAAGACAACAAAGAAATCAATATTCTAGAACCAACAGCAGAAAAATGCTTGCAAGTTGAGTACGTCGCTGAATGAGAACCAAAGACTGATCATGATGAATCAGCATACAGTCTTTGACAGAGCAACAGGAATAGCTTTAGTTTAAGTAATAAACACAAAACCTTGGTGAGAGTAGACGCAAGAGAGAATGAAAGTAGAGAAATGAACAAAGCATCATGAAATCTTTTGGTATCAAACAAAAAGAAAGGAAAGGGTGATAAGCCAGATAATTAGGTTGAGATGAGAGGGACTGGCAGAAATAATATAGTCTTACGCGATGTGACTTATCCTATAGAAATAATAACTGATGAAAGGTAAAAAGATTGTTAGAGTAGGAGACAGGAAAAGTACACTGCAGAAAGGCTTGCGTTTGTCAAATTGGATTGAGACTCAATCGACTATGAGCGCACAGAATCATAGAGATGTGTGCCGTCGTCTTCATTATCACGTCTTCATACAAAACTGTCTTGACAATATAAATGCATGAGTTGCAAAAGACAAAATTTCATAAGTAGTGTGATTAGGATTAAAAGTAAGGTTCGATTATGAATACTGGACCCTAGAGGACCTGTGCTGAACTGAAAAAATATGCCTCAACTTAGTGAAAAAGCAAGCTCGCCTCTCTCAGCATTACTGTAGGTTCAGGGAAGAATTCATCTTTCTGAAAAACATATAACTTGCACAGTCCACGCAACTGGCTTACACCATTAATAGAAGATACAAAGGTGAGTATTGGCTTGTAGGTTGTTTATCAAGAAAATACTGCCCCAGAGAGTCAGTTAAGTACTCACACGAAGAATGGCAGGGAACAAGAAAATGCTCCTCAGGCATGCACTATCATGCAAAAACCCAGCCTCAGAATCCTTCTGTGCTCTTCATTGTAATTTGTAATTCTGAGTTTGTCCTGCTTGGGAGTGAATGAGCAGAGATTTTCTAGAGTTACACAGTTCATTGATAAGCTACCCTTCCCCCAAGTGAGCAAATTTTCAGGCAATGTGCTTGTCCAAGTCTGCAAAAAATGTATTGATATAAATTTCTAGTAGCATAAAGTATATCATCTCAAGAAGATACAGTGATAAGCTACATATATAAGGCACCCAGAAGTTGGAAGATGGGCATAGCACCTGTGAAAGGGACCTGGGTCATCCAGGCAAAATACCAACAAAAAATATTTTTAAATAGAGTAATCACAATTCTTGAGAACAGAACAGTAGTAAGAAGACAGTATAATAAAGTAGCGAGAACAGCTCATACATGCTATTCAGTGCAAATTTTGCTCTCTCTCTCTCTCTCTCTCTCTCTCTCTCTCTCTCTCTCTCTCTCTCTCTTTTTCTGTCATACACACACTCACACAAATCATTCATGGAATTGTACCCACTGTGGATATCTATGCTGTGAGAATACTTTCACAGAGATAAAAATTTAACCCACAAAATAAAAATTTTAAAGTAGGAATCATTTTATATTATGGTCTCACAAACATGACCAAAGGGAGATCTTCTTTTGGTTTCCGAACAAACATGACCAAAGGGAGATCTTCTTTTTATCACTTTGAAAATATTAATTACATAAAAACCTATTCACATTTTCTGAAGTGGAAGCCCACACAGAGTTCAGGCATTAACTTCAAAAGATTGCAAAAGTGATTGCACATTTAACTGATTTTTAGAAGCAAAGAGCACAGAGGTTAATTATAGCTTTAAATTATGAAAGTGTTTCCTTTGCAAAGTTAAAATTTCAAACTCTTATGAAAAGTTTCATGATTAATTATTGCAGATAGACATTAGAAGCTTTGTCAGAGTGAAGTTTTTAAGCTTTCAAGTCATAATTATAACCCCAATTAAATATGTGATTGTTACACAAAGAAAAAGCTTGTTTTGAACTTATATGTCAAAAAGGAAAGAAGGAGCACACCAGATGGGGA